GTGCCATCAGAAGGTACCTGGGAGTCTGCAGCCTTCCCAGCCACTCCTATTGTACAAACACATCAATAAGTAAGTGGTGTATGAATTTAGCTGTGTGCTCGTGGCTGTGAGCACAGCCCTGTCATTTTTTCAGGTCACCTCGTACTGAAGCTGAGGCAGTTTTGCTGTTGCAGCCTTCTCTTCGGGAGACAGCCACAGAAGTGGCTCTTAGATTTCTGTTTCATTTTATTTATCCCTCCAAGACAGCGGAGACGACTTTAAAAATCAAAACAAAAGGATAACTTGAATGAGGGCTGCAACCACTTCCAGCTCGGTGGGTCAGCAGCAGCAGGACGGGTAATGAGCGGGGATGCTCCTGTCTGCGTGTTTGAACAAACCTTCCTTTGAAAAACAGAGAGGCTCATACCTCTGGGACCTCATTGCCAGGTAGAAAACAGCAGCACTTTATTATCAGCAATTGCCGGGGTGGAGATGAGAGCCCTTTCCAGTGCTTTTCCCCCAGTGCTCCTAAAGATGCCTTTCATCAGCGCTGCTGATGAGTTCTATGTCTCATCTGATGCTTCGCTGCCACCTGGCACTAACTGATATTTACTCAGAGTAAAAGTCAACCCTTTATTTCATAATCACCGTTTGGGTTTCTTCACCCAGAAATACCATCACTTCTCCACGCTGGAGAAATCCCCCCGGACACAGCAGGGATGCAGATTTGGATGGCTTTTCCCTATAAGGCCACTGCCCTGTGCTTTGGGATGAGCTTCAGCCCCACCTCTGTCCTTCTGTCCGTCCGCACCGCTGGAGCACCTCGTGATGGATGGGAAAGCCTGGCCGTGGATCCAGCACACGCAGTTATATGCCGTCCATAAATGTGAGGAATAAATTGCAATCAGCAAGCTGTAGATCTGGGTGGAGAAGCTAATCTTTGCACTAAATTACCAGACTTACGCTTTAACGATTTTTTACCGGCGTTTCGCGGCGCCGCTGTTTATTATAGCGGAGCAGCTCGGATGGTACAGCAATGAAAAGCAGTCCGTGAGACCAGCCGGGTTAATGAGACCATGCTGCAGTCCCAAGGGAGTGATGGATGGTGATGGGGATATGACTGGTTCATCGCTGTCCTCCCCTCCTTGCTTTCATGCATCGCTGTATCTCCTTGCTGCTCGTTGCGTATCCAAATGATGGTTTTCCTGCAATGCACAAATGAGACCTTGAGGACATCAAATTACAGGCAGTAGCCACGCACAGGCCCTTGCTCTTGCAAGGAGGGAAGCCACAGCTTTTTGTTGGCTCCTGGCTTTGCAGATTTTCCCTTTTTCTCTCTGACTCGTGGAAAATACGCATCTAGGGAACAGTTCCATGGGAAACGCTTAAATGGTGTGATTTACATTGTAGCCTGCCCCTTAAAACTAGATTAAGGACTCGGTAATACCCTGCAAAACGCTGAGCAGACAGAAGGCAGTAAATGAGCACAGCCTGGATTAGATCTGAACCAACAGTCTTGAAGTAAAAGTTTAAGGCATAAAACTGTTAAAGAATATATTCACCATATGGTTTGTTCGAACGCAGCCGTGTGTACGCTTCCTATCCACTTATTATTTGAAGGTATTGATTTTAGTGGAGTAATCACACGAAGTGATTTGTTTTAATACATCACTTTCCTTAGCGGTGTGCTATAGTTCTCACAACCGTAGATTTCATTTCATATTTCCCAAAGTTTGTTTGTTTGTTTGTTTGTTTTAAAGAGCAAATACAGGATCTACGCATCAAAAAACGGATCTTGTTGGTTTGTTTCGGCTGTTTCTCTCTGAGGAATGGCTCCTCTGAGGGTAAATGAATAAGCAATAGCTGTGCAAGGGTGCAATAAATAACGAGGAACTCATTAAGTGCACTTGCAGGCGGGAGTTTGCCTGAATTTATATATATATATGTATATATAGTGGTGTTGCACACTGCTGCTGGGTGCTCTGCTCTGCTCCCCCATCGTGTTGGGTCACCATGAAGCGCCAATATTTGCTCAGTGCTGAACGTGCTTTGAAACTTTGGCATGGGAACAGATAGGTGAGCACAAGGTTTTGTTTCTTTGTTGGGTTTTTGTGCAGAAATAGTCCTCTAACCTGCACGTCCTGTGGGTCAGTAGGGTTGGTGTCCTGGGAGCGTGGTGGGGAACTGAATTATTTCTTCTGTTCAAAATAGCAGCTTTTAGGAGGTGGGGAAATGACTACACCAAAACTATTGTGTGCCATCTGCCTGCTGAAATACTTATAGGAAACATGTTTCCTGGCGTAGAACTTCCTAGCCATATGTCTATTGCATCATTCACAATTAAATTAAATCACCCTTAAATACTTGGCCAAATTCCCAGCCTATGTGAACGAGCCTTCATCACCATGCTGTCTGAAATGTGGGCACTTGACCCCTCAAGTGTTTGGGTCAGATTGTCTCAGCCATTGTTAACCTCGGACAGCTGATGGCGACGGCGTCGAGATGATTTTTAACTATAAAATCCAGTTACAGTGCTGAGAGGAGGAAATAATTCCGCAGCGTTCGTTTGCATCGATTCACTTTGAGCAGAGGATTCAATGGAGAGCCAATGTCCACGAGAAGAAGTGTTACTCAATGTGGAAGTATTGCTCAATGAACAAACAGGGAAATCAGTGCAGAGCTGGGTGTTCTGCACATCCACTGTGTGCTCAGAGGTCCGTGTGTCCCCATCTATGGGCAGCCTAAGAGATGGGACAGTTCTTTGGGATGGGACAAGGGTGCCAGGACCTGCCCCGTTCCTGCTCCAGCTGTGGCAGCTGCTGGTGATGCTCAATGGGTGCTCAGCAGATGCCACCACCGCCGCCATCTGACATCACTCCTATGGGCAAAGCAACGGGTGAAAGCATCTCGAGGCATCTCATCTAAACCACCATAGGTCCGTGCTTTCAATTGGAGAAATCTTCAGAACTTTTTCATCTCTCTTTTTTTTTTTTTTTTTATATATTCCTCATTTTGAGGATGTGTTCAATTTGCCCACTGTGCCACGCTTTAGTGAGTCACCATCCTACCATGAGCTGCAAGGCATGGTCTGATGCATTTGGTGAAAGCAGTGGCAGTGGGGATTAATGCAAACCCACATCTTTGTTATAGGGAGTTTCATTTAAATACAGCCCAGCTTCCCCTGGAAGCTGAAGGCGTTGGGTCTTATCCTGATGTCTGGCAGGCCCGGCCACTGCCTATTCTTAGCCCAGCCCCTCTATTTTTAGTTTGTTTGTGAAAGGTGAGACATGACTGGCAGCCAGACCCGGATGATGCTGCTGGTCCCTTCCATGCAGCAGCCGGGGCAGAGGGAGAATGGCAGGAAATGGGGCCAGCGGATGGGAGAGCCGTGTAGGACAGGAAGGGACATTATGGGCTGGGGCTGTGGGGCTGAGATCTGTGGGGTTGGGGTCTGTAGGGCTGCAAGGTGAGATAGGAGGGGTTGGAGGCATCCGCATCATGGCCAAAGCCATTGCAGAACTGCATTAAATTCTGTTCAGCTGTTTCACTCCGCAGAATGGAAAGTTGTTGGTTCGTTTTGTTCTGTCCCTGTGGTTCAGCTGTATATCAGTGCTCAGACAAACCATTGCACTGAGTATTCCCAAGCCCCAGTCCTACTGAGGCTGTTCCCAACGCTTTGCTGTGCGGTGGCACTTTGGTTCTCACCAGTGGTCTTTGGTCTTCCCAGGAGCTGAAACATGAGAATTTCAGTTTTTGTTTCCAATTGTGCTATGCAAACCAAATCCTCACTTCAATAAGGCAGAAATGAAAACATTTTCCTATTATTTAAATTGGACCCTTGCCTCTATCTACTTATTTCATCTTTCCAATATATTTTCTGAGCTGATATGCATGCAGACCTGTGTTTGCGCTGAGTCTTGCATTTACCAAAGCATCTGTGTGTTACGGGGGGGAAAAAAGAGCAAATGCTGGGTGCAGAGCTGCACTATATCCATGCTTAGGTTTTACAGATCACACTTTACCGGGATATTTCATTCTCAATGAAACATAATTCTATCATCCAATACAAAGAAAAAGTCTAAAAGCACGATAGAAATCTTTATATAGAGGCCGGAGCACATTTTTTAGCTACAGATGTTTCCTTCCAAGAGACTTTTTCCTGTCCTAAGCCAAAAACAAAAGCTGCTGGAATTTTGTCACACCACCAAACGCGTACCGTGGAAATGCTGTCTGGGGATCTCTTTGTACATAATGCAACTAATTCTTTTTTTTCTTTCCCTTTGATCCCTTTGCAGACTGGAGCCATGTGGCTGTAGAGGTGCAACGGGACATCCACAAAATTCAGTCTATCCACTGAATGCTTCCTTGCCCGTGGTTTTCATGGCCACCTTATTTTTGTTTCCTGGTAACCATGACTTTTCCAGTGATGGTATCAATCAGTCAGACCAGGAAAGGAAGAATTCTGACTTAACTGGGGTTTGGTTTCTCCAATGGCCATAGCTATGCCGCTTCCACATGGTCACCTTCAGCCTGGGAGTAAGAGTGGGGTCGGTGTTTCTACACTGCTATCAATGTTTCTATAGGGTGTCATTAATGGAAATCAGCTCCACAGAGGTACTTCTTCATCTCAAGTCCCTTTTCTGCTCCAGGCTTTAAGCAGAAGGCTTTGCCTGTGAATTCTGCTCTCTCGTAGACCTCCCCTAAATCTCATTCAGCTCTCAGTTTGACCAGAGTCAATTTAGTGAAGATAATGGAATTACCTCTCTTCAGGTCAGTGATGATTTCGCATCCTTGAATTCCTTGCTAAATTTGCTGAGAAAATCTCAGCTTCAAGAGCCATTTTTCAGCATTCCCATTTCCCAGGGGTTCCCCATACCCACCAGGGGTGGATTTGGGTGGATTTGGAGCAGCTCTGCTGGGCTGGAGCCCCTTTGTGCGGGGCAGCAGCTCTCAGGAAAGGGTTAAAACAGTGAGGGCCGTGGGCTCCTTTGCTGGGGGAGATTTGTTCCGTCTGTTTGTTTGTTTGGAAGTGCTGGCAGGAAAGCAGGGAGGAGAAAATTACCTAAGTGATAGCGAGGTTGCCATGAACTCTATAAAACCGTGGGATCGAATCAGGCAAACTCCACCTCGCCGTCTTGAACCAATGCACAACTCCTGACTTGAAACCCACCCCAGCACCGAGTGAGCTCAGGGACTTGAACTCCAACCAAGCACATGAGCTCAGCAGTGCTGCAGAGCTGAACCCACGAGCGGTCCCAGCAGCACCCAGCCTTACGGGGAGCCCCGAGTAGGAATGCTGTGCTGGGAAAGCGTGCGCATGATGAAGTGGAGGCAGCTTTTCTGGATCGTGTTCTGCCTTGTGAAGTTGTCTGGTGAGTGCGGGCTGCAGAAGAGATCAGGGATGCAGCTGCTGGGAAATGGAACAGCGTGGGAATAATGCATGGGGCAACTGCTTTGTGTCTTTGGAAAGGGTGGGGAATGCGTTTTGTTGGGTATGGAGTGGGAGCGCAGCAGATTGCAATTGCACATAAAGAGCACCTGACTGATGTTCTGCAGAGCAGCGCTGCACTGAGCACCCTGCCCGACACACGAGGTGCTGCAAACAGAATGCTGCTGGGCTGGGAAGGACAGCAATTGAGAAGGGAGAGCTCCCTAACGGGAGGTGTGTTGCAGATGACACGGGGTGCAGATGCAGCATGCAAAGCTGCAGGGTGCACCCACAGCTCGGGACACCCCTCGCTCTGCAGCGGTGTAAATCTGTTTTGTGGCAGGGACTGAACATTTTGTGAAAATCAGATGGGTCTTAAGTATTAAACTCTCCTATTCCAGCTCTTCAAAGTAGTCGTCATCTGAATATTCATATATATATGAATAAAGGGTTATTCTATATGGAAATATTATCATTTTTGTCCCAAGCCCAACAACCACAAAGTAATAAAGAAGTGAAGCAGCGCTCCGTGCGGGCGCAGAGTGCTGGGACAGCAGCCAGGGACCCGCGGGTGTCATCAGATGCAATTTCTCCCAACTCCTGCCAAAGTGAGGGACTGCCTCTGTTGAAGGAATTTGCTGTGTTTTGCTCTTCTGTTCCACGGCGCTCCTTTCCTTTTGCTGCTGGGGTGGATTTCTCACCCCGGGAGCTGCGCTGCCCTGCATGCTGTGTTCATGGCACAGAACGGAGCCTCGCAGGTGGGGTGAGCTCTGGGCTTCTGGCCATGCTCAGCTCCACACCTGTTTGGGACAGAGGAGCTGTGCTTTGGATGCTCCCAATGCAAGCACTGCTGGCCCATGTCATGTTCAGTCTTTTCTGCCAAGCTCGATTTTGTGTCTTAAATCTCGTGTTTTTGGGAAGCGTTCTTTCTTTATTAATTGTTTTCCTGCAAGATCCAGAAAATCTCCACAAATCAGCGATGCAAAGGAGGTTTCCAATGTCCACGTGCAGCCTCTGGTGCCCTGAGCCCATAGCCACGATGGAGCGCTCCCGCAGCCCCACACCCATATCCTGTGCAAGGAGGGAGGGGGAAGGGCAGGGATTTTATCAGATATTTCCAGAGGGAAGAGGGCTCCACCCGCCCCAGTTCCTGCCACATGGCCGGGAGCAGCACGGCTGGGAATGTGTGAGTAATGCAGGATGGAGCTCCGCATTGCAATCCCAGAGCTGTGGGTCCCAAGGCTCACGGGAGGTGTAATTAAAGTCCAGGGAATCCCTCTGGGCTGCACCTTCTGCCTTGCAGGGCTGCAGGCACAGGGCAGAAAGCGCTGTGATCCACGACTGTGAGCGCAAAGCAAGGAGGTTTTTTTTTTTTCTTCATGTTTCCTGAGCTTTTGGCGTTGCGGAGTTTTGCTTTCTGTTGGACCTGGTTTAGCAAAGCTGCTAAAAACGTGCGTGCAATAAATGGCCTCTTCAGGGTGGACCCTCCAGCTCACGTTCGGATGGTTATTTGTCTCATGAGTTGCAGTGTTGCAGAAAACTTCACCGTGGTTTCTGTAGAAGCAGCTGCATGTGCCACAATGGAGGGAGGAAGAAAGCAGTGCTGTGTGATGCATCTTCTTGCAAACTGCACCCAGCAGTAACCCAGGCTTCAATTTGTGACATTCGGCGGTGAAAAGGCTTTGATCAGAAATACCTCTGGTGCTGTGCAGACATCTGGAACAGTTCACAGGTGCTGGGGTGGCTGTGGTGCTTTGGGAGGTCGCCTCAGTTCCAGTGACGTAAAGTTTCCGGCTGACTGCCATGCAAACACAGAGCTGTATGCAAAGCCTGGCTTTAACTTTGCACTACTTCAGTTCTGGGCACAGGCTCGCACCTCCTGGTTTTGATTTGGTAAAATTCTTCAGAAAAACTCAGGGAGGGGATTGGCTGCAACTGCTGGGGCAGGGAGAGACCTTCCCTGAGAGCAGAGCCCAACTCTGGCCCTGACCACCTGCAGCCACCCCAGCAGAGCCCCCAGCAGCTGCAGCGTTGCTCCTGAGGAGCCCCACAGGGACTTCTGAGCAGCAGCACAGCCTTCAACCAACAACCCAGGTCCTCTGGGCCTCCTCCAGCCAAGTGCTGATAGCTTGAGTTAGGAGTAGTTCTGCCAGGACGATGCTGATGTGCACAGCACTGAAATGCAGAGCACTGAAATGCACAGAATGCACAGCACCCAAACGCACAGCACTGAAATGCACAGCACCCAAATGCACTGTGCTGAAATGCACAGCACCCAAACGCACAGCACTGAAATGCACAGCATCCTAATGCACTGTGCTGTAATGCACAGCACCCAAATGCACAGCAATGAAATGCACAGCATCCTAATGCACTGTGCTGAAATGCACAGCACCCAAATGCACAGCAATGAAATGCACAGCACCCAAATGCACTGTGCTAAAATGCACAGCAACCAAGCGCACAGCATCCTAATGCACAGCACTGAAATGCATAGCGCTGAAATACACAGCATCCCAAAGCACAGCACCCCAACACACAGCACCCCAATGCAAAGCACCCCAGTGCAAAGCCACCCCAAGGCACAGCACCCCGAGGCATGCTAAGGGCGCAGTGCCCACCCAGCCCCACTGCTGGCATTGCTCAGCCCATGTCAGCACTGCTCCCTGTGGAAGCACTGCTGGGAAGGGTGAGGTAAGGCTCCTCGGAGCTGTGCTGGGCAGAAACACAAACGAAACAACATATTTTACATTAGTTTGTCTTTAGTGTCTGGGTAAGAGTCTTAAACAGCAACAGCCCCGCAGGAGACACTGAAGCAGCTTGCAAAAGTGGAAATAGGAATGTAAAAGGTTAAGAGATGGAAAGAAATGTGTTTTCACTGACTCATGAAGTTCACAGCAGAAAGGAAAGCTGGAAGTGTCATCTCTGGAACACACCAGGAAGCAATATATAAACTTTAAGTTAGAGCAACGAGCGACTCCCCAAACATTCTGCTTTACCTCCAAAGATGTTTTTGCTCATGAGTCAGAGCCTGAGCCGCAGCCAATGGGAATGTTTCTGTTTACTTTGACACGCTGCCTGCGGCTGCACATCCAACTTTTGTTTCCCGAGGCACACACAGATCTCTTCCAAGGCCTCAGTCTCCCCTCCAAGGATTATCGACTCAAGCTGCTCCACAATCCGGCTTTGTGCAGCGCTCTGATGGAGCTCAGGGTGTGAAGGATGAGGGCAGAACTGGGCCCGTCCTCGGTGCTCCCAGAGCTTTGGTGCTCGCGGAGCCTTTGATGCTCTCCCAGCTGTTTGCTCTCTGGACCCATGTGAGCTCAAGGCCAACTTGGGGCAAGAAGAAAGCAAAGTTGTGAGCTCAACCTCCACATGCAGCAGTGGGACAGGGGTGGATGGGGGCCTGGCTGCAGCCCCTAATGCTTCTTCTCCCCCAGGTACCACTGCTGACAGCCCCACAGACAGCTTAACTGCTGTGACCTCGTCCGTGGCAACAGCACAGAGCAGCACTGGCAGCGTGGCACCCACCGGCAGCATGGGCAGCACGGCAGCGACACAGGACAGCCCTGGTAATCACTGTGTTGTTAATCAGATTTATTCAGTGCGTGGGTACAGTGTGCCCTTAGAAACCCAGCGGTCAGAGGATGGGCTGTGCTCTCAGAAAAAAAGAACCCACTGGGAAAACTCACTGCTTTATTCCTGTGCAGCCATCAGAGCCAAGCAGCACCGCTCTGGCTGCCTGCAGGCCTGGTGGCTCAGCCCCATTCTCTCCATCAAATAGATAAGAGGGGATGGGGACGATGGCCTCATTAACTTTTTACCCCAACTCTCTGATGGCTCCAGATCAAGGGGGGAGGTCGGCCACTGCACCCTGGTCGTGTTGCAGTGCGTGCCCGGGAACTGAGCCCATTGTGCACAGATTATGGAGCTCATGTAACAATTAGGCAACCTAAGCAAGCCTAATGCATTTCTTACACAGCCAACACCGCGTTCTGATGCTGCTGGCTATGACAAATCAATATCGTACTTCAGTCAGCGCGATGCCACACGCTGATTGCAGAGGACTTAAGCTTCTCCATGCATCTTTCTCACTGCATTTCTTCCAAACAGCACCCACTGCTCAACCCACATCAGGCATCCCCAGCTCCCCAGGACCCAGCAGTGAGCACAGCCTCCTATCCAGCGCCCATCCCAGCACCCAGAGCAGCACTCAGACCAGCCAGACCCCCACACCACTGCTGGACAACCATCCAGAGGACACAAGCAGTGGGGCATCCACCACGCTGAGCCCAACACTGCACCCCAAAACAACAGAAGCTGCACACCCATCTGCATCAACGCTGCTCAGCTCCACGGCCACCCCCAGACTGACGGCGGTCTCGGAGGCCACCACACAGCTGCACACATCTGGTGGTGTCAGCAAGGTGAGAGGAGGGGGGTGGGGCTGAACATTGGTGATCCCATGCAGTGGGGAGAGTGGGTGGCTTTGCATCAGGGCTGTGAGCAATTACAGAGGGTGTCTTGCTCCCAGCCCTGTCTGGGTCAGCACTGTGGCCTTCATGGGTAGGGAGGGATGAACAAAGCTGGTGATGCAGTGCATGCACCTTGGCCAGGACGAGTAAGCAAAGCACGGGTGCTGCAGAGCCCTGCAAATTGCTCCCACGCCTGCAGCCCTGCTACATAGGGCAACCCGGGAACCTTCAGCACTGTGCTGTGAGCTGCTGAGCAGAGGAAATCACACAAGCATTCTGGAGGGGTCTTCTGCTTTGTCAAAATCATCCAGCTGTGCATTTTGGACAACACACACTACTCCAGTGGTTCGCTAATCCCAGCACTGCTTTCTGACTTGCAGCCCATCACGTGCCACAACATCAAAGAAGTGAGCGACAGCGCAGCCCTCTGCCTGCGGCTCAACGAGTCCCACACCTGTGTGAGTGGCTGCCCTACATTTGCAATGGGGAGGCACATGGGAGGTGGGGGGGCAGCAGGGGTGGGTTTTGCATCACTCGAAGTCTGGAGGAGATGGGGTCACTGTACTGGGGGTCGGTTTGGGGTGGAGAGCTTTGCACTTTCATCCCTGAGGGAAAGCATTAGGGTTGTGCCAAATAAAAGGGGAGGATGGCTGCAGCAGCCCCTGGAGGATCCCAAAGGGATCCCAATGGAATCCAGCTTTCTGGTTGCATAAATCCTCCTTTTTCCTCATGAAGCTCTGGGGTCTGTTTGGCTTCTGAAATCTCTCCCACCACATTGAACAGGAAACTGCCTTTATTGTTCTCCTTCCTCTCCTCTGTTGGGAACACAGTCGCCTTTTCTTGTCTTGCCAGCAGCCCAGGGAAGGAGCCCGGGGGCAGAGCTGTGTCCCTGTCCGTGCTGACTCCCAGAGGAATCCCAGGCACTCCGTAACAGCCCTCGGCTTTTTGCACCAAAACCATTTATAGGAGCAAGGAAGGGGCAGCTGTGATGCTGCTGTGAGTGGGAGCAGATGTGCCCTCCGTGCAGGAGCTGCAGGAGAGCCCAACAGGGGCAGGACCTTATGGGACAGAGACTTGGCAGCGCCCTGGGTACAAATGACAACGATGAGTCTTATTTTGCTGGTCAGCCATGCTGTGACCACTCTGGGTGGGTGAATTCCTGCTTGGATTCCCTTTGTAAATTGCCTGTTAAATGGCATTTAGGGTTGCCAGTGTTTATGGTGGCGGTGGTTTGCCAGGGTTGGTATGGAAGCTCCCGGGCTCAGCTGCCATCTAGTGGCACCGGTCCTCCTGGCATTTGCATGGGTTGCACGAGTATGGATGGTATAACATGTAGGATGTCCTATAGGGCCATAGCAAAGTGCTATGTGCTCCAAACTGCTTGGCCGTGGTGGTGGGTGCTGCAGCTGGGAACTGATAGGAGCTGCCGAGAAGGGGCAGATCAGAGGGAACGGCCTTGTGTCCTTCCTGCTGACTTTTCCCAAAGCAAATGAGCAATGAGCTGGCACCCAGCTCTGCTAATTGCAAAGGGAAACTCTGATACGTGGATGAGTTCTTTCCACAGCGGAGAAAGGAAAGTACACACTTGGGCCTCTTGTTCCATCTTGGCCTTCCTTGTCCCCACGCCAAGCTCTTTAGAGACAGCTGAAACTGATTTGTTTGTTATTCTGCAGTGGATGGATCTCTGCATTTTTGTTTGCTCAGTGCCTGTTGGTGTGGGACTCCAGGGGAAGGCAGGCGGCGTGGAGCTGTGTGTGGGACAGAGGGGCTGCGATTGTGGCCCAGTGGGATGGGATGGGATGGGATGGGATGGGATGGGATGGGATGGGATGGGATGGGATGGGATGGGATGGGATAGGATAGGATAGGATAGGATAGGATAGGATAGGATAGGATAGGATAGGATAGGATAGGATAGGATAGAGTGAGATGGGATGGGATGGGGCATGGGGTCAGTGGCTCTGCTGGCAGACAGCATCTGGAAATAGCTGCAAGGAGAAGGACAGTCCTGTCCCATACATTCCCTGCCCATGGGAGGGAAAGGCTGCAGTTCTCCTCTTCCTCTTCCACCCAAGCACTGGTTCAGCTCTAAGAAGTGTGAAATGTGTGTTTTGTTGCCTGGCCTTTGATCAGCAACCTAGAGAAAACACTGAAGACATTTCCTAAACAGGAAGGCAAAATGCTTCTTTGTTATTTCCCCTCCCTCTCAGCTCCTGCCTGGGATCCTGAAACAATGGAGCTCTTCAGGCTGCTTGCTCCGTCCAGAGATTGGAGGGACTTGCCATGCCACTCAGAACCTAAATTTAGCTTTGTTTAAATGTCACTTCCAAGAGTTCCTATGAATATCTTAATTTCATTTATCCTTGGTTTCACGGCCCTTTGTTTGAAAACCTTGCAGAAACATTTTTTGGATACGAAGGGCTCAGATTTATGGAGTGCAATCTGTGAAGAGGATGCTCACCGTGTGCCCCCACCCTGCCAGATCAAACTCGCCACGTCTGAGGTGGACCAGGAGTGCCTGCTGCTCGTCCTCGATGGGAATACAGGTCAGGAGCTGAGCCCCAGCCATCACCACGCCTCAGGCCCCAGAGAGGGGCTGGGGAGGTCTCTGTAGGGCACGGATTCTCACTTGCAGCTTGGGAGGAGCTCTTTCTTCTGGGGTTTTGCTTCAGCCATGGCGTTGCACCTGGAGGGGTGAAGGGGTTGGTGGCTCCTGGGCTCCTCGTGCTGAGGTTAACTGCAATGTGACGCTCATTGTAATGCACTTCTCCTGTTTAACAATTGCAGATCCTGCTATGGATGTGCTCCGGGAGTCTCACTGGGAAAAGGTAAATGCCCAGAGAGGTTGGGCCCTGGGAGTGGGGTGTAGGCAGCTCAGTGTCAGGATGGTCTCAATGCCTGGAGTGCATTGCTGTGCCAGGCAGCAGTGAGCCCAAAATCACCACAACGGTGCCCCAGGATCCTCGATGCAAGCACTGAAGGTAGAATTGCTTGGAATAGTCACTGTAAAATTGGGTAGTATCCTCTTTAAAAAGGGCTAGATCCCAACAATAACTCTTAGGATGTAATTGGAACTCCACATCTTCAAAGCATTGCGTGATGTTAATTAATTCCTGCTCTCAGCACTGCAGTGAGGCTGCTGCCGGCTCGTAAAGCCGAGCTCCAGGTGTCCAAATAAAGGCAGCCAGCAGAGCTGCAGCAGCTCACAGAGATACTCCATCATGCAGATGCATGCTCTAAATCTCAGGTTTGGGGTAGCAAACCTCACCGTGCAGCAGCAGATACTGCACTGTGAGCAAAGCACAGAGCTCGGGCAGGACAGCCCAGCCCTGTTTGTGTGCATCTCCAGCCCAGCCCTGTTTGTGTGCATCTCCCAAGGAGGTGAAGAGCAGCTTTGTTTGAAAGCTGCAGAGCAGACGCACACGTTTCCTGTTTGCGAGGCTCTTGGCTCTCTTTGGCAGTCTTCTTTTTTTTTTTTCAGTTCGGAATCAAATCCCTCGAACGGGGCAGCGTGCGGAGCCATCAGGACTTTTCTCGGAAGACACTGACGGCTTTGGTCACCTCCGGGCTCCTGCTGGCAGCTCTGGGCACGGCTGGGTACTTCCTGATGCGGCGGCGGAGCTGGAGCCCTGCGGGACAGAGGCTGGTCAGTGCCTACAGGTGGCAAAGCGCCCGGTAGCCAGGAGCCGGCGCCCCACCGCCCATTTACTGATGCTGTAAGAAAGGCTCTTCCTCCCCTCGCTTAATAAAACGTATCAAGAAAGAAAGAAGAAATGCTCCTATGTCCGTGTTACACCCTGAGCGCTCAGAACTCCTTTGCCATGAATTTCAGGGCCTGTCCTATCATTGCTTATGGGTGGTGCTGCAGCCATTGGAGTGCTTCGTTGCCAGAACTGTCTCACATCAGATGTGCAGCTGTGCAAGAGGCAGCTGGAGCCCAGCACTGCTGGGTGCAGCCCTGGATGGTGGCAATGGGGCCAGCAGCACATGGTGGGAGCTGCTGGTGTAGATGCTGAACAGCGTCACACCACTTTGCCATGAGGAGCACAAACCTCACTGCCACAGATATGGGGTGAGGAATGAACAGAGATCAGAGGATGCACAATGCTGTGCCCACGCTCTGCTCTCCTCTGCTGCTGGCTGCAATCTCTGCCCACAGCCCAGGGTCACCAGGTCCTGCTGAACACCAAAGGATCTATTGCATCCCTATGGGACCTGCTGCATCCCTATGGAAACTGATGCATTATGGGCACATGGAGTGAGTATGCCTGAGTAAGAGATGATGGCAGCTCCGTGCAGCAGTATCAGTAAAGAGCACAGAGCATAGCTGTGTATGGGCAGGCCCATATGCATCTCCATGCTGTGCAGTGTTGAGCTGCTGGTGTGTTGCTGCAAGGGATAGGGGAAGAGAAATAGGAAACCCCCATAGCTGTCATTCCATGGTGGTTCTTCTTGGCCAAGGGGCACTTGGCAGAGCCACTCAGTGCTGGGGCAGCTCTGCCAACCCAAGGTGGGTAATCCAACAGCACCCACCTGACAGCTCCTCTTTTCAGGTCCCAGAGGACAAGCACAGCTCCTGGCTGCCAGCAGGGCTCCATGTCCACATGGCTCTGTTAGCGGGTGCCAGTCCCGTGCCCACAGGATGCCACCCACCCTCTGCTTGGTGGCAGAGCCACCCACCGCTAGCCTTCCCCTCCCTAACACCACCTCTCCTCTTGCTGTCTGCAGGATGAAGACCACTACGACCTGGAGACTGGCAGCCAGGGCAGCCCTGCATCACAGGAGAAGCCGAGCGCCAATGGGGCGCAGGAGAACGGCGCATCCCGCAATGGCCGCGGCACCGCGCAGAGCCTGGCCGACACCTCCATGTGACCCCACGGAGTGCACGAGTGCCTCACACTGAACTTTTCCATCCTTTTTTATATTCCTTTTCTCGTTTCTGTGAAGAATTTCACCGTCGCCCAAAGCGCTTTGCGCTCCAGCGCTGCTTGGGGCCGTTTCTCTGCTCTCCCTCCTTCTTCCAATGACCACACAGGGAACTTCTTTACTGCCATCCTCTGCTTTTGTTGTTAAAAGCACACGGTGAGAAATGCAGCTGAGCAGAGGAGGCTGAAGCCACGGTCCAAGTTGCAGCTGTGATCTGAGCACCAGCAGCCCCAGGATTTGGTGGTACCGTGATTTAAATAGTTAGATTGGGATTCCAGTGACACGAACCTTTCAGGTTTCAGGGAATGATGTTTTTTTATCTCGTCTTTAAGCACACGACGTCTTCCTCCTTTAAGAGCATGGGGTGTTTAATCCCCTCCTCGCCCTTTGTGCCATCTTCGTCTCTTAGAATGTACTGAAACTCTGTGTAACACTTCCCACGTGGCATTGAAGGCTGAAATACAAACAGACTTTGAGCTCTGCTGACCCCACCGGGGTGCAGGTAGATGTTTTAGGGTGATGTCTCACCCATCTCCCAGCTTGGAGATGGCATTAACACCACAGTAGTGATCCATCATCGTGTGGTCCCATCACCCAACCCCACAAAATGGAGCTTTGGCCTCCATAGGATTTTGGGAACAGAAGATGCCAAAGGGCTCCTGGTCAGACATCTGCTGGACTCTAGGATGGACGTTTCCATTCAGACAAAAACAAAGTATTTTTACTTTACAGTAACAAAAAGCCAATGCTGAAAAGCCAATAGCAGGAGCAAACCGAGCGCCGTTCCCCTGTGAACTGCTTCTCCCAGCCCTCATTTTAATCATCTCAGTGAAAAAAAAAAGAGAAAAAAGAAGCATTACAAATGAGTGTCCTCAGAGCTGCCGCGTGTTCATCCCGCTGGGACGTGGGGCTCAGGACCACACCTCAGTGAGCCCTTGTTTTGCAGCACAACGTGATGACTCAAAGCTGTCCGACACGTCTGCTGGACCGAGTGACGTGCATCAAGTTATTAAACAGCATTTGTTTGATTTGCTGATGTTTACCATGTGCTGCTAATTCCTGGAGAAATAAACGAGGCTGCTGGCTGATGGCTCGGGGCTGTGCTGACAGCAGGGTGTGTGCGTGCGTGCAGGAGGAAGAAGGCTTCCTCTATGCACCCAAGTAATGGTGTTGGAACTGCACTGATTGCCTCTGCCTGAGCAATGGGGCAGAGCTGCAGGGCATGGATGTGGGTGGGTGCCCACAGGTATCCATACCCACACCCATATCTCCACATCCATGGGTATGGATAGCATGGGGTCTCTGGGTAGAGGATGAAGATCTCGCTCCTCCCTGTGCGCTGCTGGAATAGTCCAGTAAAAGCAGTGGTTATTTTGGCTGCTGTGTTTTTCAGTGCATACATTGCTCAGAGATTTGGACTCCATAGCATCTGAATGGTGCTGCCCTGGGTGTGGGCTCAACTGTTTCTGTCTCTCCCAGATCCAGGGGAGCACTGACCTGCAGTGCCAATGGGTCGGGGAGGCTGATCTGGGGTCCCCCAGCAGAAAGCATGGACTCAGGTGGGGCTCACTTAGATCCCAGCTCACTGCAGCTCCTTCCACATATTAACACTGAATGCTTGTCGCTGCTGTGCAGGAGTTGCCCTCAAAAACCCATGAGTTGGACCGGGGCTCTACTGGAGGCAATCCCAGAAGCACAGTATGGAGGTGGGGGGAGGTCCTTCCTGGTGTATTTTCTGTTTCCTTTTGGCAGCTGCTTATCTAATCAGTACTATCTGCTGCATCAGAAAGGAGAGATCTAATCAAAGCTCAGGTGCATTTTTCACAGCTCTGGGTACGTCCTACAGCCAAACTGAGACGACAACAAAACCAGCCATCAGCTGCTGGGGCAGAACAAAAGGCTACACAGGAACATCCTGGTGGGCACAGAGCCGAGCAGGGCTGTAGGACTGCAGGGCTGCGGAAGGGGCTGTGGGCGGCCCAGCCAAGGCAAAGGGGCTGCTGTTGTTCCTTCCTTATCAGACCCCTCATGTCCCTTCCTAGTGGACTTTGCTGGGACTGTGGCTTTTCTTCTGCTCACCCAGTGCTGGCACAGCCATTGAGTGTTACATCTGTGCATCAGCCCGGAGCAGAACGGAGCCCTGGTGCCATGCAGGCTGCCCCAGACCCTTCCCCAAGCTGAAAGCAGAGACTTTGTTCAGCAATGAGAGATACTTTTGTGTCTGAGCTGCCACGCAGTGTTACTGTGAGCTTCAGGTTTGCTCAGTGCATTGCTGAAGCCAATCAAATTCATCAGAGCAAGCAAGTTTTAATTAAGTCTTATTAACTACTTCTCTCGGCAGATCTTCCGTGGAGTGCATAGCAAAACCAGCACAACCTTGCCAGGTGAGCCCTGCACAGCAGAACAGCCCATCCCACATCAGGGGAGAGCAGCTCCCCACTCTGCTTTCTGTGTCCTCATCCTTTTTCCATTGATTTGGTGCAGAGCCCCCCAGCAATAGGACCTGCCCTACACGAGCAGCCCTGTCCCACCTGCAGCTGCAGCCCCAGCTCCGCTCCTGCTGCTCCTTGTGCTCCCCCAGGGCACCCACCCTTTCTGGGTACTAAAATTCCAGCTCAGTCCCTAACCCTAACTCTGCCCCATTGCACTGTGACAGCCACCAAAAGCAAAGCCACATCCTGCTGAAACCAGGGGCACCAAGAGGCGCTGCAGTGCTGTTTGCAGGATGCAGAAGTACCACTTTTATGTTGGATTTTCACACGTGTGTGTGTAGCAGAGATGTTAAGTCATGGCCTGAAGCAGTGATTGAGCACCTGGTGGGGAGGCAGGGCTAATCCAGGGAAGCTCAGGTGCAAGCAGTGTACCTGAGTGGAAGGGGCAGAGTCAGGATTCATCCCTTCTCACACCTCATTTAAGGGTTGGAGTGGAGCTGAGGGCATCTCTTGCTGGGGATCTCTGTTTGCTTGTGGCTTTCTAAAGATAGGCAGCTCTTTTCCTTCATTTCTGCCTCTGTGGCTGCTGTATTTAGGCTCGTTCTCATTTGCTGTAGCTGTACCCTTTCACCCTGCTATTATCATGGCACTTTCTATCCCATTACAGTACGTAAGCAGCAGTGCAGGCTGCAGCCCTACGGACCAGCATTGCTGTGCTCTGTTCCCAGCAGCACCGGGTGCTCAGGCCGTGCTCTGAGGTTCCTGCACCACTTAGAAACTGCAATAGCCATAGCCTGGGGTATATACATACATACGTATAGCAATGCTGCTATCTGCTGGCTGTGCTCTGCTAGAACAGTGGGGCTGGCACCCGGGTAGCTGCGAGCGCTGCTGCCCGTCGGTTCCTGCGCCTTGCGTAAGGCAGACCGCATCCCTGGGGTGTTTATTTTTAGCTTGTGTATTTTTTTTTTTATTCCTGTAATTTAAATAATGCATTACCTACCCTAAGTTCTTTATTTGCTATTTCTGCTTCTTTTACTCATGATTTCTTTTTTTTTAATCTTCATGTTTGCATCTTCCTTCTTTCCTTATCTACCGCCTGCCCCAGAGGCTCTCTGCTGCTTTGGCAACGTGCTAACATGTTTGGGAACGATAAGACATCTAATTAATAGTTTAATTAGCAGTACAAGGTCCTAATAGCTTATTAAAGGAAAATCATTCAGAAAATTCTTTTCCTTTTCTCGCGTTGGTTCCATACCCTTTATGAGCACATGATAAAAGGCTTTTGAATGGTGCTTGGAATGTAGCAGGGGAAGTGGATGCGTGATTTCATGGGGGATTTTACACCACTAATACTATTATATTTTTTTTTTTTCTTGTTTAAAAACAATTTAACAGCTTAGCAGAACCGTAAGGGAACAACACTGCTGTGGCGTGGCCGGTGGTCCTGGAGGAGGAGTGATGCGCCGCAGCCCTCCTCACCGCATGTAAACACAACCTGGATTTATCAGAGCCGAATGGGTTTGTTGGGTGGGAGTCTTGGCTGACCACGTCCACGCAGCGCTGAGACCCCCCGGCTCCTCTCCCTTCCCCTCCCAGCCCGCAGGCTGCAGCAGGAGCCGCGGAGTCGCTCTGCTCGGATTCCAGAGGCTGCGGTGTTTTTCCTCTGACCCATACAAAGATTTCTTTCTAAATTTATCTCGGTGCTCATCGCAGTCCCACTTAGCAGCAGATTACGAGGCCGGGCCAATTCAAATGAGGGCAGGGGAGCCTGGATCGTGGCATAGCCTTGACGTAGGGCGGGCTGGCAGCACGCAGAGCTGGACTCAGTGCTGCACACCCGCACCGTGGCTGCATCCAGGGGCTCTGCTCTCTCCTCCATCCTACGGGGCAGTTCCAGCATGCTGCTGCTCCTGCATGGATTGCAGCACAAAGCAGGCTGCAGCTGGGTGTGCTGCATGTGAGTGTGTTGTACCCCAAGAAGCCAAGCATCCTTTGGTTCCCCCCCATGTCACAGCTGCACGTGGCAGCACTGCACCCCTGCCCATCTCAGCTGCGGGGTGCAGAGCCCACCACGCTGAGGATGCAGGGGATGCAGTATGGATTAAACCATCCCAGCAGAACGCACGGGTGCTGCTAATGCTGTCTGCACTCTTTGCATTCAGCAGTGCAGCCCCGTGCAGGGAGTACGTTCCGTTTGGAATTACAGAGGGATATTATGCAGTTACAAGGATGGCATAACTGAGAGAATGCTCCACACGTGCAATTTCCTTATGTGCTGTCAGCAAATCGCTTCGTCTGTGCTGTGCCAAGTTTCCCATCCATTAAATGGGGGAAGATTTTTCCTCTGCTTCCTAAGGGGGAGTGGAGCAGCACCTTCGATGGCTGCGGGCGCAGGAAGGTGCCACGGCGACGCGCAGTGACACGAAGAGCCGCAAAGAGCGAGCAAGGATTGTAGCCCTGTAGCACCGACCTTCGGAACCGGATCCCTGCTCCTCATCTCCCGGTGCTTTTATTTGATTTTTTTTTTCTTTTTTAATTGCAGAAGATCTCCAGATAGGTTCGGTTCATCTCTTTCGTTCAGGATTTAAAAAGATCTCCCAGGTCCGGACGTCCTGAGAGAAAGGAGAGGAAAAAGCTGAGCGGGACGCACCGATGGATCCCGAACTCTTCCTTCGCCCGTCCGCCGCCCCCTTCCCGACCCCCCCATGGGCTGTGGGGGCACGGCCTCCTGGGACGTGTAGGCAGAGCGGGGTGACCTTGTGGTGCGATGCGGGGGGGGAACGGCCACGGCTTCCGCCGCTCGGGAGCGCCGGGGGGGGACGCGCCGGGAACCGCTGGGATCTGAGCGCTCCGGGGCCGGGATGGGAGCATCCCCTGCGCATCCCATGGACCACCCCGCCCCTTAACACCCCCCCGGTGCAGGTGGGGGCACGGACAGAGCCCAGCCAGGCTGCTGGAGCTGGGAAATAAGAGATAGCAACAATATAAATTATTATTATTATGGAAGTAGTGAACTGTGGGGGGATATTTGTCCGAGTGGAACCTAATAATAATAATAATGGAGCATAACAATAACAAATGGGACGTAATAATAATTTAATTAATAATTCTTAATATATTGTAATAATATACGATGATCACTACTTCCCTGTGGGTAAGTGGGCCTGCTGCCCCATGGGATGCAGGCACACGAGGCTGCCCAGATGGGAAGCAGTTCCTTTACAGCTTTGTGTTTTCTCAGCCTTCCTTCCCAAGGACGGCTGTTCCATAAAGCCTTACAACTCCCGTGCGATGCATTGCTGTGTTCTTTATTGTTTTCCTCGCTCTCAGAACATCCGATGCCGTTTGTGTTTGTAGAGCCTTTTAATAGCGAGGTGGCAGAGACAAACCTGACTCGGTAAACTTGCCTTCCCCCCCTAAGGCAGCTGTAGCCCAGAGAAACAGAGCGAGAGCCGCAGCTCAGCCTGGGAGCAGCGCTGTTTACAATCCATCATTGTTAGTTAATTGCTGTTTGGTTAAATATTTACTTTGGATTAAGTTCTTTTGTGCTCTTTTCTTACGAAATAATAAGTAGGGGTGTATCTGCTGGGCTTCTTAGACGGCTTTTTTCGAGATAACTCAGCAGCAGAGAAACTTCATGAAGTTCTTCTCCATATTTTGTGCATTTGCCTTGTATTGCTGTGCTATCACCTGCAATGAGCCAAACTGAAGTAGTTGGGATATCAGGCCCATTCCTTCCTGCCCCATTTTCTGAAGCTATGCCAAGTTACAAGGCACATCCCAAAGGGCTGCGATGTTTTATGGGGGGACTGCAGACTTGATGTCAGGGCAGCTGAATCCCATGAGCATCCTCCTGGCTGCAGCTCTGCTCCCCACCTGCTCTGAGCCCTCAGGAGCAGCTGTTGGCTCCATGAGAGCCTTTTTTGGTGCAAGGCTGCAAACTTCTGTGTTCTGCAGCAGTGACCCAACCGTTATGTAAACAAGGGTTTAAATTTGGAACTTTAATACTTAAGAGGCTTAAGTTTCCTTTTGCTCAGACTTGTTTTCGTGCACTGCTCCTTTGCAAAGCGCTTCTTACCTAAGTTATGGGTTGCTACATCACCCTGCAGATGTATTCATCGTCCATCTGAGTGAGGGTTTTACTCAGGGTCACTCCCTGCCCTTGCATCGCTCTGCCAGGACGGGGCAGGGTTTGCAAAATTGCAGCAGGCTGTCCCTGCGGGTTCTCAGCCCAACTGCTCCCTCTGAAAAACAGCAGAGAAGTAACACAGAAGGGAGTGCTGATGCTGAGCAGTGAAAGCTGACGTGCGGTTACATTACCTGCACAAATTGGGGCACTTTAGAGAAAAACAGCCCATGATGGGACCTCAACCAGAAGTAACTTGCATAACCCATATGCCCCAACAAGGAGCAAAGCTGGAGCAGCACTGACTTCAGCAGGTAGGTGGTTCATCTTTGCTTCTTTCTGTGCTCAGCAATCATTCCACATGTATCCAGTTTAGTGGTGACGTAGAAATCTCCCTGCTGGGACAGAAGCACTGTCCATCACTTGCTGCCAAAGACAAAGACTGTTCCACAGCTGCTGTCCTGCTGACAACCCTCCAGCCCTCACTGCTCTGTTCTGGCACCAGCCAAGAAGCTGGAGGATCTGGAAACAAATTAGAAGCGCTTTGAAGGAAAGAGTCCACGGCAATGGGAAACCAGGTGTTTTCATGTGCTGTTAGGAGGTAGTAGGTCTTCCTCAAGCTTGTGTGTTCTTGATAACACAACTTTTGTCTCCCTTTCTTTGCAATGCTCTGTTGGTTTTAGTGGCCTCCATCACAACTGTCCCCTCCAGTCATTGAATCACCAAATGCCCAGTGCTGAAGCTCAGAGATATGCTCACCCCAAGCAGCTCCCTTCAAACAGCCTCATATTTTCCACCTTGTGATCTCCGTGAAATGCATTTACAGGAGGAAGCTTCCATTCTTTGTTCTGTAGGAACTGCATTAGTATTCTGGAAAAAGAATAAAAAGCAAGACTTAATGCTACGTTTCTATTGCAGTCCTATACTTTCTTACCTGGCCTTTCCGCGGCATACTAGTCATAAAGCAATTATGGAAGGAATAATGTAGACCTTGAACCTTTTAAACATGCTTAAATGGTGCGCTTTCCAGTGCACCAAAGGGTAACACCTGGGGCTGGCTGCAGCACAGAGCTGCTCTGTGCTGTGTGTATCTGGCACCCTGCAGCTCCGCAGTGCCCTGTGACCACAGCCCGTCACGCTGCCTGCTCAGCACAGTTTGTCACGTAAACAGGGAGATGCAAATAAAGAAATCGAACTGATTCCACACCCTGAGCACTCAGGAGACTTCCAGCATCCTGGCCTATGTTTCTGTATGTTTATGTTGCAGTGCTCCCCTGCGTGCAGTGCTCGGTGCAGGCAGTGGATCGTCCTCCCGAGGCGGCTGCGGGCTGCAGGCAGCTCCCATCTTGGACGACCTCATTTTAACCTCCCTGTTTCGAGGCAGCAGTGGCATTATATAACCCAGATTTCGGCGGGTCTGCTAGAGAGGCTGCGCAGAAACAAATGTGCACTCACACGGGTCAGGCTGTAATGGGCTCCTTCCGCTGGTGCCCTCGCCCACGTCTCACCCGGAGCTGCCAAGGAAAGCTCCCACTCCAAGGCTGCAGGGCTGCAGCTGTGGAGCTCTGGACTCACAATACAGAACACATTCATGGCAGCTCAGGGAAGGGCAGTGCTAAGGATAAAATGGCTCTCAGCAGCTGAAAGTGAACCAGCGGAAGCCTGGTGATCCTGCAGGTGGACCTATGGAGGGAGTGTGTGTCAGAGGGAAGACTGGGACTCAAGGCTCAGCCATTTTTGGCTCATGGCTGTGTGCCACCGATAGCCTTATTTTTCACTGTCACGTCCAATGTTTCCCTGTGTCCCCCTGGAGCACCTCCCTCTTTTCGCCCAAGGCTTATTGATGGTAGAAACAGGGCACAGCAAATGCCAGAAGACACTTTTCTGTAGAAGCTCCCATTTCGCAACTCCTTAACTTCCTATGAGAACCATGGACCTTCTACCTTGCCATAGATTCACCCGTAGGGGCTGTAGGAAAACAATCAAAACAGAGCAAGGAGGTTAATGCAGTCACAGCCCCAGAGGCATGCAGAATTTCATTGTGTCCTGGCACTGGGAGGCAGAATTACCAATGCATGCTGACGTCCCATTCAGCATTCCTCACCTCAGCAGTTTCCCTGTGCTTTGCTGGCCTTGGCCACCAGTCCTTCAGAGTTAATGGCCTGGCATTGAGCACCCATTGCGTCCCCTGGGCAGCGCTGCTCATGTGTAGGTAATTCTCAATTGCTATTTACACCAGCTTTTACTTTTCTATGGAATTCTTTGTCTCAGAGATATAAAACTAACTGCTCTATTACTGTCGTGCAACAAGAAATGAGCATGGAAACCATGTTAATATTGTTTACAAAAGAATATAGGTGTATTTTCCACCATATGTCCTTTCTCTGTTTGGTGCAATTTGGCTTTCTGTAAAGTCTTGCAAAAACCTATGGTTTAGGTTTCAGGAAATCCGAAGGCTTATTCCTCTTTTGAGGAATACCAGTTGTTACTACTGAGCAGATCCACAGCACTTCCTGAGCAGCAGCAACCATTAAATCCCTCCATTTCAGTGCAGAAATTTGTGCTGTCCCCTGAGCGTGGCACCAGCCATCTCTCAGCTGCATGAGAAGGGCAGGACAGGCAACTTTTGTTCTGCTGAACACAGTTCCACCAAACGGCATTGCATGGAAAATATGGGCAACAAGGTTGTTGTGTAATGTGCTCAGTGGGAGGCTGCTTCCAGGTGTTACTTAATTCGTTAAGTGCTCCATAGCAAAACCAGATGAGCCATATTAGCTGCGAGTTCTGGAGCTGTTGCTGGGGCTGGTGCTTGTGTTTGTGTCCCATCCACTCTGACACACCTTGCTCTTGTTGCCAAGTAACTAATCGTACTGCTGAGAGCCAGCATTGTGCATGAACTGATCTGGCATTCGTCCTCTTCCTCTTCCTTCTCTCCACCTCCCACTGCCTGTACTGGGATTGCAAATGGCAAGGCCACAGAGATGTCCTCCTGCTCTGTGCAGGCTCAGACTATGCCAGACATGGTGGGTTTGGAGGAGCAGCTGTGTCAAATTGGCCTGGTGTGCACCTCTGCTAGATAATTCGGGTTACCATGGTTACATGTGGAAAACAGGGCTGTGGGTTAACCTGAACCAGTGTGGCATGGAGTGCAGCATCTTGTGCTGTGGGGACTTATCTCATGGTAAGAGGTCTCATCTCGTGTCAGGCCTGGGATGGAGGAGGCCACCATCCATACCCCAAGGTGCACAAGTTCACCCTCCCTGCTCCTCCAGACACGTTCATGCTCTGAGTCTTAAAAAGGAGCTCTCCAAGTCAGTCCAGAATTCTAGATTATGGCTCTCTGCTTATCACATGTACTGCGTGGATCTGCACAGAATGCCCATGTGTTCAGCACCAGAGTCTGTAAGCTTAGAGCTGGCATCCACGTTTGCTGGAAATGCCCAAAAGCCCATCCCACAGAGCAAAGCTGGTCAGTGCCAGAACCAATCTTTTTTATCAGCCATTTCTTCAGAGAGGAATGTTTGCTATTTCTGTTGGAAAACAGAATGCTCACCTACTCCCCCAAAGGCACGGCTGAAGACCTGCCCAGTCCACGGGCATCTTCTAGTCCTCAACAGCACAGGAGAGCTGCTGTGTGTCACCCTACCATATAGGAAAACAACAGGAGCAAGACTGAGTCCGCAAATTGCTTTCAGCACGATTTCTACGAACACCAATATCAAATTGTGCTCTGGAGGCAAAGCAGATGATTTCAGCTCAAAGCTGCTGTCCCACCTTCCCCAGGTGACAGAGCTGACACAAGGCACAGGATCCACTGAACCATCCCAAACACGACCATCTTCATGACTCGGTAGAAACCTTCCAGTCTGGGAAAAGCCTGTCAAATGAAGGGGCAAGTGAAGCCTGGAGTGAGTTAAAGCTCCTTTGCCAAGCAGTGCTTCTACTGACAGAAGGTTTTGGAAACTCCATTAAATCACTTTGGGACTCTGCTATTTATCTTTCACAGCAACCTGCTCAGAGAACGCAGCAGTGGATGGCAGCACAAAGGCCTCAGAAGGAAAGGTTCTGCCAGGCTGTTTTTGGCATATTACAGTGCACTGAGGCAGTGCTGCCTTCCAAAGAGAAAACTGCACTCTCACAGGTATAAATGAGGAGGCAGAAGCCTGCTAGAAATATCACTCTAGGCTTTTTGATGTGTTAAATGCCTTCTTTTCCTGGGCTGGCTGTAAGAAGCATGAAAGGACATAAGGGAAAAAAAAATTAAAAGTGGTGGTTTGGGCAAATAAATTGGCTGAACTCTATTAATCCCTCAATAATATGGCTGATCTTTGGTTTGCTATTCAAAATACTCGTTCAAGGAAGCCTTAAAAATTCACACTTTTGTTAGAATATACCCTTACTGCCTCGTTTTTTGGGGAGGAATAGCACTAGATGCTGGTTCAGAGGCTTAAACCCAGACCTTGGCCACTGCGGAGCACTCATCCTCAGTCATGCCTTCCCCTTTAAAGGAGTAAAACGATACAGTCGTGCACTGGCTGAGAAGGGGTTGGTTTGTGTTTTGTTGGTTTTTTTTTTTTTTTTTTTTTTTAAGAAAAATAGTTGGCAGCAACATGAGCAAAGCTGAAAGTATTTTCATCTGTTTTGTTTTGTAATGTTTAATGTTTTGTTTTCTACTTTGCGGATTATCCAAAGGAATTGCTGAAAACAAAGGTCTCCCATTCTGGAAAGGGAAATCAATCTACAGTTGGGTTAAGATGAGTAATCAGAATTGGTCAAATAAGGAAACCAAAAACATATTGAAAAATGAAAATATCTATGTTTTCTTAGGAATTAAAAAATACAGAAAAGTTCTAGTTCTAATCAAGATTTGTTTGCAAAACAGTTCCCGCCTGGGAAAAGTAACCAGGGCACTTCCATAAAAATATTTTTGAACTTAATTCTTATTTTCTTAATGGTAGCTTGGATTTTAGAACTTACTTGTGGTCTCCCAACGATTCTGGTTGTGTAAGTGCAAAGTACACATTCTAACTTGGAGCTGTTGTGCTCTCCTGCTGTATGAATGGCTGCAGAAGGGAGCAGATCGAAAGAACACCGGTTAGAAGCAAATTAAAAAAAATAAATTGGTAGTTTGAGGAGAAAAGAGATGGGAAAGGAGCGCCTTCTTGCCTCCTCTAATAAGTATTTTAAGGAGATAATATCTTATAATTACTTATTTTTAGAAGTGGTGAGAAGTCTTAACTGAGAGGCCAGAGCAGCTCAGCACTGGACAAGCAAAGACAATTTATCGCTGGCCAAAATAATTTACAATCCCAGTTTGAAGGACAACAGGAAGGTACAAAACTCAAACAAGACTTGCATGCACTGAAGCCAGCAGAAACGCAACAACACCCCAGTTAGTGACAGTGCAGGGTTATTCCTGCAGAGCACGGGCAGGAAGGGGGAGGTCTCACCTCGGTGAGGTCTGTTGGTCAGCTCAGCTCCCAGATGCCTTCCAGGGCTGGGGGCTGAGAGCAGCGACCCTCCATGCATTCACGGCCTCGGTGTCCCCATGTGAAACAGGAAACCTTGGAAAAGTAGAAGTGTGGCTGTAATTAGGATTAATCTATTTTTAGCAAGCTGTCTGCTGCCCTGTCCCTGCTCCAGCTGAGATGTTTAATTCTATCTAGCTTGACCCTTTCTGTGGCTGTACTCAGGATTGATACAGAAATTCTCTTTCGAAGCTCCAGTTTGGGTCCAGTTTGTTTTTGTTTTGGTTGGGCAGGGTGTTTTTACAAATCAGCCTTCTATTTTATCTTATTTTTTTTTCCTGTACAATAGCTGGAGAAATCCAGCACTAAAACGACACGCAGATTGCTGTACAAAAACAGTTGTACAACTTTTACTCTCATTATTATTCCTTTTACTATGTAGTTTGGAAACGTAGTCATGGAGCAGGAATGTATCGTACTCTGCACTGCACAAACAGCATAAAAGGAAACTCTCCCCTTAGCAGCTGTATGGAGTGAAAACATGTAGTGGTATTGCAACAATTTGTCCTAAACAGCACCATGGCAAGATGTTAAGATGCATGTGAGAACCAGCTCTCCCCAGGCCCTCAGCAAAATGCTGTTCTCCGCCCCAAAATCCAGTAATTTGCACAGGGAAATGCTCTATTTCATATGTAAAGGGGGAGGGGATAATTTTCTCTGCCCCCTACCTGTCCCCTCACCATGTATTTCGGTGACTCATGAAGCTTCAAAGTGCTGAGTGTGGAGAACGGCTATTTCTGTGCTTCCACTGCAATCCCTGCTACCTCCAACTGTGCTGTCAGTGCACCTCAGCCATGCAGAGCACCCCCGCGGGCTCTATTCTTAGCAGCTAATAGCTGAAATAATTACTTTTGTCTCAGCACTGTTGGCTCCTTGGATTTGGAAGCGAGCAAAACCCACAGCTCGGGAGGGTCGGGACTGCTGCAAGTCAGTGAGCTGAGCTGGGGTTGGGGGATGCTGATGCCCCAAACCTGACTTCATCACAGGGCATCCACTGTGCTTGGAAGCAGCCTCTGTGTTCCTGTCGTGCCATCCCTTTGAAAAGGATCTCAGCTTTTCCAGCTGGGATTTTCTTAGGCTTCAAAGGGCAAATGCCAGACTACGGCTTTTCAAAGGGATGGCCAGGTTTGTCACCTGCAGGTTCCCATTTTGGTGCCTGCCTTATTGCACAGAAAATGCAAAGATTTTATGCAAACCCCACTAATTTATGCAAAGCCCAACACCATTGCACCCGTGGCAGTTGTTGGGATCTAACTCACACCTCTAGTTTTTGATCTCAATGGCAGCTATTCTATCTCCTCCCCTTGAAACCCCCAAACCCTGAGAGGACGATGAGAACCCAACAGCTGAACAGTGCTTACAATACTGAGAGAACAGAATGAGCTTTATAAACAGCCAATTCTTTGCCCTGCACACCTGGGTAGGTGCACAAAAACAAGCTCAGAAGTGCTTCAGAAGAGGTTTGTATTGTTATTTATACGCCTACCTGCTCTGTGGTTGGATGGGACTGCAGTGTGCACACGCTGGGCTGGCAAAGATGTGTGTCACAGAGATGGTGGCTGAGCTCATCACAGCCAGGAATCACTGCAAACACTCCAGAAGCCATTCCTCTCACATCCATTAATCAAAAATCATCTGGATAGCAATAAACCTTTCAGGAAAAGCAAAACAAAACAACAACATGCTAAACCTAAACGTTTGACTCGGTAACTTTCCTATTATTGTTGCAGCAGAAGGAAATTCGGCACGCTGTACTGTGTAGAACATTCCCCCATGGACCCAGCTGGGCTCCTGAAATCCGGACTGTCTGGCTGACAGGACAGCACTGTGGGACCACAACCCATCTGTCATTGCCTACGTCCATGTGAGAACAGAAGCAAAACTTTAAAGTTTTATTTCTGCTTTTCTTTGAAAAACGAAAGAAAATACCTCCTCTAAATAATTTCCTATCAATTTCCTCTAAAAGCCACACTGTTCCGGCAGCTTCTGTTTCAGATGGCTGTTAAGTCTTTCTAATTGACTTCTATATAATAAGGACTACAATTAAGCAAGAGGCGCAGCTGGAGTAAAATTTAGGATTTAGGAACTCCCAAATTTCCATCTCAGCTTTGACCCTGAATCCACATGCAATCTGAGCCAAATTATTGAACCTCTATTTGATTCAGTCCTCCCATACACAAAACTGCATTCATTTCAAATACAATGCAGGATGCCACGTCAGCACCTGAGAAACATCACCACTTGGTTTTCAGGGCATTTGGTTGGCAAACTGAAGACCTTTGTGCTAAGCATTATTACTCAGTAAGTGTGACATTAACTTGCCCACGTTCTCCTGACTGCCTGCTCCCAGGGTGACGCGTTGAGACGTCATTCACGTGGACGCTGAGGTCGGGCACTGCACACATTTACAGCTGCACAGACTTGCTGAGTCTTGGGCAGGAATTTGTTTGGCATTGCTGAGGCCTTTGGCTTATTTGATCTCAGCCTTTTAGTTAAACAGGAACATGCCCTGATTTTAACAATCGCAGCTTCCTGCAGTTGGGAGGAAGGTGTGGCTGATGGCATTTAAAGTGGAACTGGAGCCAAGCCCTCACCAGAGGGAAGTTGAAGCACTGCGCAGCACCACTGGGGCTCTGCTCATCATTAAAAAGATCAAGGACCTTTCTCCAGGGACAGCCAAGGTTATTTTATCACCCACAACACCACAAGGCATTGGATGACATTTGCAAGCGTTAGATTTTCATAACTTCACTCTCCATATGTTATTGCTATTAAGGCCATTGTAGCATGACAGCAGAAAATAACACAGAAGATGCCAAAGAACTGAGGATGCAGCTCTATGTTCTGTTGGCATACAAGCAACAGCAAGCCTGCACTTCTGCTCACTGATGAATTGCTTTCCTCTCCTTTCCCAAACACCTGTCCCACTTCAGAATGGACACAGCCACTACAACACACACACACAGACCCCCTCCGGCTGCCTCCCACTGCTGCCATAGGCTCTTTCCAGCTGCTAAGCTCCCTTTCTAGCACTGGACATTGCTTCCTCACAGTCTTTACAAAAACAAAATTCTGATGATTAAAAAAATAATAATAATAAGGTGGTACCACGTACGTCCATAGGCTCCACTTAAAACAGGAGACTTGATTTCTACCATGGAATCACAGCTTTTTTTTCACTTACTTCAGCTCACAGGCAATGCCACATCCCAACCAAGCTTTCCATCACTCTGTGTGTTTTTAGTTGCCTACCTGAGTGCTTCGCAGGGCACAGTGGCTTTGATCCTTCTTGGGAGCTGAAGTGCCTCCACAGAGTAAATACTTTATGATCAGGTAAAGACAGAAATGTCCCACGGCTGGTCATTTTCAAATGAAAGTAACCCATTAAATAAACACTGCCTTTCCCTTGAAAGCAACCAAAAGCATATAATTTGAAATAAACCAAAGCTCCATTTTACTTTCTTAATATACCAGCGTTGCTGGGAGCCAAGCATGCCCATCAGCTGTCCCAACTTCTCAGGCTCTGTCCATCCCACTGCCACGCTCAGTGCCTGGGGGCTGCGGGGTGGTTGCACACTGCTGGCACCTCCATGGGCACCGTAGATGGGCTGCAGGCAGACACAGCAACAGGGAACACGGAAATCCTCTCTGCCTCTGTGTGCTGGTTGAGCTTCTGAGATAACTCAGGGGTAACGGAAACTGACTGCGTAACCTTGCACAAAATGCTGGCCTACTTCAGAGCATCGCTGCTGAGTGACTCATTTAAGTAGCCAAAGCACTCTTACAATTAACTGAAACACTTAACGCTTGCAGCTTTGGCCACAGAACAGATCTGTAAGGCTTGAAGTCCCATGTGTTTGGGCGTGTAAGAAACCCCATCTTGCAGCATTTCGTTGATCGAGCATTACTGTTCTTGGTCACAGGGAGGTCTGCATCAGATACAAGCCTTGTGCTCCCTGTACTACTGACTATTCAGTTCACAAGGGTCAGCTCTTCACCCCACGCCAGCACCCACACTGCCCTCCCACATCCCCAGCTCCTATCTTTTTTTCCATGGTAGAATTGTATCTGAGAAACCAGGAGCTTGCAATTCTTCTCATTTATGTCTGTGTGTAACAGGTGTCACTTTCAGTGTAGTACAGACAAATCCCAAAATAGCTCAGGCTCTTCAGACGCTGCAAAGAGAAAAAAAAATAGTGGTTACTTCAGCCCTGGTTGTAGTGAAAAGCCCAAAGCTCACAGCCAGCTCCACAGTTCAGCACTAAAATGGCAGATGCCTCTGCGTAGTGATCTCTCCTGATTCCGAGGTTTTCAAACGGGCTGCTGGCTCTGTTGTACATGCAGTCTGACGCATGAACTCCCTCATGCAGGGCTGGCTTTCCATTAGCTCCGCTTTGATTCCCAGATGCTCCATCTACCACTGATCCTCCTCCACATTTTCCGGTTTCGAGGCTCCGAGACGGGAGCAGCGCTTCCTCTGCCTGGTGCTGAAGTTGACTGCACTGGAGCTAACACAAGGCAGAGGGCTATGGGAGAGGAGAGCCGCTCAGCAGCAGCACTTTGCTTGCCTGGCTGTGCCTGCTGTGCTGCAATATGCAGCTGCTGGTGAACCTTTTTGACAGAGATGATTGGATTCTGGAGACTCCCGGAATGCAGCTATTAGTTCCCCTGCCTACACTGAGCATTCTGAATCTGTGTGTGCAGTAACACTTATTAATACTGTTCAGATTAAGTAGAGCCTATAGCTTCCTAGCACTTTCAGTACCTTATCCTACACACTGCATCTGCTCAGTGGCTGAACCACAATCAGATCAATGTCTTGCAACCAGCATAACACGATCACGTGGATCCAGCAGCATTTTCATGCTTTTATGTCCAGAAGTCCTGCATCCATTCCTATGAGTTGCTTTTAAGTTGCTCTGTGTTACAAGGTAATGGTGACTGAGTATTTGCAGGATGTAGGCCCAGATCCCTTTATTTCAGGACATCAAGCAGTGGTTCCTGACACCGAAACAGTTAATTGAGAAGCACTAACTCTCTACTGGAACGTGTGTGTGTGTGTGTGTGTTTGTTTCTTAGAGCCAAGAAGATTTGCTTTGGTTTTTTTAAAGCAGAAACCACCACAAAGTTGGCTGTGGTTTCAGCTGCGCTCGTTTGAGATTTGTGTTGCTGACTACCAATCCTAAAAGAGTTAACCCAGCAAGCATGACTCAGAAGCAGAAAGGGAGATGCGAGGCTGAGAGGCTCGGAAGGCAGCACAGAAGCACAGGTGAGGAACATAATAATCACCAAAAAAAAGGTGCAGCGTCCAGGAGTGAAGCTCCCTCGGTGTGCCTGGCCCTGGCACTGCTGGCACGGGCTCCCTGGAAGGCTGCAGTTCCGCTGTTATAACACAGGGAGCAGGCTGGAGAATTTAGAGCTGCGTCACAGAGCTCAGAGAGAGAGCGAGAGAGCAAGCTCCGTCGATAGGTCTACCAGCAACAGCCCTGCTGCAGCAAGAGGGGAGAGAAGAAGCCGGAGAGGGAGAGAGGGCTCAAGAAAGAGAAGTAATACCAACACCAGGGACGGAGCTCCTGTCACCAGACGGTGTCATTTAGAGAACGTATTTGGGCTCGGTTGGCGTAGGAGGCTTCGCCCATTGACGATGCTGGAGACCCGGCGCACTTAATCCCGCGGGGAGGGAGAGTGGGCAGACACCGAAAGGGTTAACGGAAAGGAAATTTCTGGAACCTTCTATTCTGCGGCGCTACACAGCAAGCAGAGGGCTGAACGCTGCGCAGCTGGTGGACGGGCAGAGCTTCTCGGTCCGGTTCGTCTTTCCCACGTACGTACCCTTTGATCAGGATGGGGTTGGAGCTGCATCTACGTTTTGTAATGCTTTGCAGGGCGTCCCCTTCCCCCATCGTCCCTAAGTTCAGCTCCCCAAGTGCCTTCATTATTATTTCGGCTGGGTATGATTGCTCTGCTCTGCGTCAGAGCTGTTTTCTCAATGGAACGTCGGCACAGGTTGTACGAATGCCACTCTTGCCAGCATTGCTGTAATGCAGAGGAGGGCAGCAGTCGTGGGAGAGAGATGACAACTTTGCAGACTGCTGTTTTCGTGTTTTGCTCAGGCTTTTTATTCCCTGCCGTCCCCCCGAGGGCTGGCGTAGAGGCAGGGCTGGGTGCAGGGGTTAACAGCCACCCTGTGAGCTGGGATAAGGGCTTTGTCGCTGCGTAGTTCAGAAAGTGGCAAATGGTGACGCAGTGATCATTGCAGGGCACGTCGGCCAGTTTTTAAAAGCACTGGGGACAGGTACACGGTGCCTTCCAGACGCTTCCACACCAGCTGAAAGGGGTTAAGGATGAATCGAGACGGGAAGCTAGCATTTAGGGATTAAATGTCATCATTTTGGCGTTGGAAAGTTGTTTACCTTGCTCTCTCCGTGTCTCCATGTTGGCAGCCTTCCAGCTCACATGTGATAGTCTTCCCTGTACTGCTGCATCATTAACTAAGTGGCTCAGCCGGCTCCCGATTGGCCGGGGAGGGTTCTCGGCCCAAACACGCCGTCTGATTGGCGGAGGAAGCGATGGCAGGTGAAAAGCCTTCTCGGATTGGCCGAGAGCCTGGTGTCAAATCCGAATGTTGGCTGCGCTCGTCTCAAAGTGCCGGGGGCTCCTGGCCCGGTCCGGCCCCGCGGCGCGGTCTGTCTGCTGCCCCGGTTCGGTCCCCGGGTTCGGTCCCCGCCTCCTGCCTGCCCCGCGCCGGCGCCGGGAAGGTTTCGCTTTGCTGTGCCGTTGTCACGATGACGTGTCAGAGCTGCCAAGCTCCACCACGGAAACCGCTTGGCTTCGGGGCTTTTATTTCTTCCTTTCCTTCCTTCTTTTCCTCTTCCTTAGGCAGTGGTTAAGCACGAGCTGCACCGCGAGCTCCTCGGGGGCACCTGGAAATGATGCAGAAGGAAGGGCAGAGTTAGGATGTGGGCAGGAAGGAGGACAGGACAGGGAGGGAAGCATGGACGGAGTCTGGGCAGGCAGCTGTGCCAGAGTGGCCAAGGAGATGCCGAGAGGAGAATGCTTCATTCCCTGCACCAGTTACTGTGCTGTTTTTCCACCTCTCTTCTTAACTGCCCATCAGTGAAGATGTGCTGGGAAGTTCTGAGGACACAGCTGGCTCTGAACTCAGTCCTTCTAGCTGTAGAAGACACCCATTTAAGTACAGAGCAGTAACTTTGCTTTCTTGTACGGCAGGGCACATTATCCCATAGCCCTTCATCACACCAAGGCTTAACCAAGTTTAAGGATGTGGTAGCATAAGCATTTAATCTATATTCGTCACTCACTGACATACTAAGCGTCAGGACCGGTTGTTTAGCAACAACCGCTGGGTTTAGATCCAGCTTGAGCACTGCACTGCCACGGTCACAGCAGTGCCTCTCCTCTAGTTGTCAGGCTGAGGGCAGGGGCTGTGCTGGCACATTGCATCTGCCCAGGTTGGGGCTGCTGGCTGATACAGGCCGCAAGCGCTGCGGTTTTATGCCCGACCATTTCTTTGCGCAGTAACCGAGAGGAGAGGACGCCATTTCCAACAGCAGTGCTGTGGCAAGAGCAGGGAGAGAAGAAGCAAACAGACAGTAGGTGCCACTCCCCAGTTTGTTCCTCTTCCCCATCTCTACCTTCCTCGCCTCCCCTCCTTTCCTGCTGGATTCCAGGGGGGGTTCAGCTCCTGCTGCAGTCGTCACAGCCCCTCCTGACTCACTGAGCCCTCGCTGGCTGGAGCATCCTTGTCTCCTGCAGCGCCAGTTCCGCAGAGCAGGGGAGCAACTGGAATAGCAGCAGCAATGGTGGTCCCTGCAACAAGATGGACAGGCATAAATACACACATCTGTGGGAACAGTGCAAGGCAGCTGCGGAGGGAATCCTGTTCAGCCAGGAGATATACTAAGAACTGATTCTTTTTCACGTGGGAGAACAGTGGGTTAAGCCCATCCAAAGGGAGAACTCTCCATGCTTTTCCCCTCATCACAGCAGTGGGATGGAGGACCCCATTAATTTGCAAAGGTAGTGCGTCTTAATGGCATTTCTCAGTCCTTTGGAAGGAGCTGCAACTGGCTGCCACTATACTAAGGGTATGCATGCTCTTGAGTAGCTACATTCGATGTAAGGAACATTTATTTTTGCTCCCATCTTTTGGCCACAATGATAGTTTGTGACTAAGTGCAGGCAGGAAAAGGAGACAGAGAGAGAAGAGTTAGTTCAATGTTAAACTTAGTCTGTAAATAGCATTACTCAGGAATTGAGGTTACTATCAGCAGGTGAATCTGGGAGGCTTGCAAGAAACAAGGCTAAGAAGGGGACAGGGCATATTTCTGTAGGACAGTAGTATTTTGTGCATGTGAATGCTGTATGTTAGCTGTACATGGCTAGCTGCTCCACAATGGTTTCCTGTGTATTGCTTCAGAAGGTCTTGCAAAAGCTGCCTGTCCTTTCTCCCTCAGACACTTGGGTAAACTGATGTATTTCTCAATATTTTGGTTTCCCTCCTTTTTAAAGCAGGGTTTATTATCCTCTCAGCCTTAGTGCGGCATTGTGACGCAGCGTTCATCAGTGCATTGGGTCTGCTGGCAAAATACGTGCCATTTTCTTTCGAGTTTAGACTGTTCAAAGCCTGCAAAATTTGGTACAGTTAAGAATTGCAAACGCTCGTGACATAAACGTAAAAGCATTACCAGATCATTCTTCTGTGATCCTGAAAGAAGGCTGTCTGAACGATGAGACAGCCATGATATCTTTCTGCACTTGTTTTGCCGATGGTCATGTTACATCTGTGACGCAGTCCGATTTTGCTGTTGGTTGCTGTCTCTGCTCGGTGGGGTTGAGCTGATGAAGGCACAAGCTAGAATAATGTTAGAAGCATTAATTTAACACTGATGTTCAAGTTTGCAACCATACCTGATATGGCAGGGATACTGGCACCCACTGATTTTACCACCCACAAACGGTGAAGGAATTCAGATGAACACAACAGCACCCCTAGCCATTTTGTTGCTCACAGAGTAGGCTCTGAGCCTGCAGTGCTGCTGCTGCTGTTAATTTCCATGTCATACAAATACAGCGTCGGGCTCTGTGTCAGGAGCTTTACTGATGCTGTGAGAAGCTTACAGTCTATGAGGAAATGCTTTTCTTATTTGGGAAAACTCATTAGAATGTCCAGATGCCAAGTATTCCTTCCTCACTTCTCTTACAAATCGCTTCCAGACCTATCCAGAAAACTCACTGCCGCCTTATATTTTTTTTTTTAAAGGACATTTTCTTACAGTTTAATATGGGTGTGGCGGGGGGGGTAAGGTTGAGATTAAAGCTGTATTAGTTGAGCATCTGTGGCACTGGTGCCAATGGACAGAGTTGCACGCAAGAGAGGTCAGAGTCACCCATATTCTCTGTATATCTGTAGAGAGGCAGACATTTGAGACCTAGGGCTCAGACCACGCTCTTGTTATGGTGCAAGAAGGGAACACCCTGCCCTGTTCCAACCCACCCAAAGTGGTGCAAAGTAGGCAGCAGAAATGGCCAACGTGGGAATCTCATGAAATGTTTTCAACTGCACTCTGAGATGCAAGTGCCGTTTATACTGGCACAGCTCCGAGAGGTACAATAGCTGCCCGCTGCAAGGTCATTCCTGACTCATTGTCAGGTCCTGGAACTCCCAGTCCACATTTCTTGCAACAGTTGCAGTGCTTGAGCCCTGAACCTGGTGGCAAGGCATGAAAATTAAGGTGAGGCTACTGCAGTAGAGGGACAACCTAGTTCAAAAGCATAGGTGTAAAATACACTAGATATCAGCAGAATATTAAATTCCTGATTTGTAATTTGTTTCTCGAGTAAACTACAAAAACTTGCTCAAAAACTTTGTACTAGGTCTCTCTCCCCTTCTTTCCTTTGGATTGCCGGGAGACAGGAGTGATGTATTTTGAAGGACTAGGCATCAACTTACACTCTGTTCCAAAGGGGAAAAAAAAAGTGCATATATTTGCATTTCTGCTCCTGTAGTCATTAGAAGGCAGACTCCACAGCAGCATCTATCACATTGCTGCTACCTCTCACACCTACTTTCAGTTTCAGGTACCTCAGCTCTAAGGCTGCTTCACCCCCTGCCAGATTTCCATCTTTTTCTGAGGCATTTCTACCTGCCCGTGTCAGTGGTATTTTCAGTGGGCTACTCAGGGCATCATCAACTAGGGATACTTTATATCCTGCTCTAGTCTTCTCGGCTCCATAGGCAGCACTGAGTACTTAATGCCTCAAGGATCTTAAGCAAAATAACTTATTTTGTCCCCATCTTCACAGTAACAGTTTGGTTGGCTCCTTTTAAACAGAGGAATGTGGGGGTCCAGCAGAGCCAGCCCAGGCCAAGCACCAACACAAGCAGATCCTTCCTGCCAGCAGTTCCACGAGCCCACCTCCAACAATCTTGCCCTGGGCCACTTCTTGCTATGACCATGCTTCCAGCCTGCCTTAGCCTGCAGCATTACTCTCCAGTTTCCAAAGGAAAAGAACCTGGCTGCTAATCCTGATGCCAGTGACGACTCTTCGCCTACAGGGAGGCATATGCGATAGCTTGTCTGCTAAAAACTGAGCCAACACAGTGTGATTCAGACCTTAAGCTTTCCAAGGAAGAGAGCTATTTCTGAGTTAAGCACATCTCTTCAGCTCCCCACACAAACAATCTTTATCCAGTGCAAATGGTGCACACTACGTGTCCACCAGCAGCACACTGTTCTGCATTTGGTTCTGCAGCTCCGATGCAGAGCAGCAGTGGCTCTCAAACATAGGGATGTTTCTGTGATAGAAAAGATGATGAGAATGTTGGGAACAGGCAAAAAGCAAACTGCTTGGGAGAGTTGGGTTAGAGACTCTCTATAGCTTTTTTGCCAGGTCCTTCTACTGTGAATGGTGTTAGAATGTGGCAGAATACACATCTGGCTTAAGGGCAGGCCGTACTTCAGTTAAAAAATGGCAGCAGCTGTTCCCTTACGTTCACCACTTGTACAAGACATTATTTTGTCTTTTCAATGACAAGGAAAAATGGGACTTCCCTTCTTGACATTACCTGAAGTAGCTGGATCTGTAGTGCTAGAGAAACACCGTGTTCCTGAATTGACTACACAAATCACAATAATCTCCCTGTGACTTCTTTCAAGACGTGCAGTAACACCGTATATTCTAAGGTGATGCTTAGGTACAGAAGTTAGGAACAGAAAATTACTTTCCTGGTTTCAGCTGCTTTAGTGGAGACTTTTTTTTGATGTTAGCTGTGTGACATGCTGTTCAAACAAGCTGTGCATAGCTACATTCGATGAGTTTGAACTGTTATACCTTCCAACTGCTTCTCCATGACTGAGGTCATGCAGCTGCAAGGCTTTTCTCCCTTGTGTGAATTTGCCTCATCGTTCTTTGAGTCACCTGAAATCCTCAATAGGATTCAGAAGCTCAGTACTTCCTGTGCCCTCCAAGCAGGCTGTGGCTTTGCATAGGAACTCTCAGGAAAGTAAGGGTGGAAGAGAACTGTATGACTGCACACAGGTCAAAACAATTTCAGATTAGCAGATGGGAAGCAGAAGATTAGAAATTGTAATGCTAATGACTTGCACTCCTACAGTCATCGCCATGCTAATGTTCCCTTCAGTTCAGAATAGCTTTAGGACAAGTAAATCAGGAGAACAGCAAATAAGTGCTATCTTTCACTTAACAGTCCTACACAAAGTTTTGGGATTAAAAATGGACAAAAGACCAAGCAGGTCTTGCAAATAAATCACAGTTATATTAGTAGTGCATTGTTAAGAACCATCTCCTACATCTAAGGGGTTTCTTATACATTTTTTAAGCCTCTTTTGTTAGATCCAAACACAGAAAAAAATAGAACCACTACACAAGGGCTGCTACAGCCCAGCACATCAGCTGATGCGGCCGAGCTGATTCTAGTGTTATTTAACCCTCAAGACAAGGTTAGCTTCATCCAAACCACCAACACAACACCTATGCTGACTGTCAGGCCAGGGCTCAGCACTGTTCAGGAAAACTTTGGTAGGCACCAAAACCACAGTAGGAACAAAGTCCAAAACTCAAAGCACCAAGAGATAACCACACACAAATGCGTTTGGGTGAAACCACTCTGCAAAGAGGAAAGACAAAGATGCAACTCTGACCTGGGCACAAAATCAATTCCAGCCATCAGCGATGCTGCATATCACAGGGCATGCCCTAAATAAAAGGAAAAGATTGTTTTCTGGCTCCACTGCATGTAAAAACTAATCAGTGACCCAAATGTCAAGTAGACCTAGCTGTCCCATTGCTCCAATAGGCTGTGTGGAACTAGAAATCTTACAGACTTTAGTACTGTACAGCACAGCATGCCATGGTGCAATGTTCAAGCTCCCTATTTTCTTTTTGCTGGTGGGGCACAAACAGCATAAGTTTGTAGGCTTGGAGTGCCAGTTTTTCACTTTACTATTTCCAGCACAATTCTTAGGCTGCAAGAGTGGGACTAAAGGAACAAACTGTACGTTCAGGGATGTGACCTGAAGTTTTTATTCTGGTCCTAACGAAGGATAAAGTCTCCATTATGCTCTGAGCTCACCACGAGGGAGGTGCATGTTTGCGCTGCCCCGAATAGCAGCAGCATCTCTAGGGCTGTCTACTAGTCACAAGCATCAAACCCACAAAGCAGTGCAGCACCTACCTGCCTGCACCCAGCCTTGGTCAGTGCTGCAGCTGCAGAAGGCATTACACACTAATGATTAGCCCAGACTGCAAGTTAGGGCACATTTGTCCATACCTGACCTACGCAACTCCGCACAGTAACAAAGCTGCACAACAAACAGATGCAGTTACACGCTTCCCTGAGCTGAGGAAGCTTTTTTTTTTTTGAAAGCTTAGAAGTTCACTCATTTCAATTTCCCTTACAGGTCACCACTTGCACTGTCACACCCCTCTGTCCTGCACCTGGCCTGGTCTGACTCATCCCTTGACTGGGGGGGTGGCTCTCTGCCTCAGCTCTGCATGCAGAACAGGAATATTTCCTGCAGGGGAGACCAGAAATTGATGATCCAAGAATTTAATTCTGGCATTTCAAAATGGAGGGGGGAAAGAAAAAAGATGCTTACTGCAGAATCCCCAGAAATCACCCTTATATATAAGCAGTTGTAAGAAATCAGGTCTGCAACACTTTGACTTGCCATGTTCCTGCAGACTACATTAAAGGTCCTTGGCTAGGGAGGAGGTTCCCTTTCATGGGGAAGGCAGGGATTTCTTCCCTTTTTTTTTTTTTTTTTTTTGCCTTGTCTTGTCTAGAGGATATCAAGCAGCATGGAGTCCTGAAAGGCTTAGAGAGGTTCCTCTGAAGGAAGCTATAGCACGCTGCTGCTAAAATATGTCAGCAAAGGAGGAAAAAAAGAGAACAATAACATTGTACTTTCTTGACTGTTACTTACAAAGACTCAAATACTTTGACAAAGCCAACTCTAGCTGATTGTATTTGCTTGTCTCTGCACGTGTCCCCATCCATACACATCCAACACACCCAGCAAATGCTTGAGACAAGCACTGGTTTTGCATATATGCACACTATGCATATCACATGGTCCTGAGCTGCTCTCTTTTTCTCCTTCCTCCTGCACACTGCCTGCCCCAGCATGCTATTGGGTTTGGAAAGAAGAGAACACAATGTCACAGATGGATCCTTCTTGTAAGGTGTATCTGCAGCTTGGCAGCAAGGGCTGACACCTCCCAGCTGCATGCAGGGAATGAGAGCGTGGTGAGGCCCAGGGAGATCTGCGGGCGACTTGCAGGAGGGACAGCATCGTCTTAATCATGCCAAAAGGAAATTTGTTTCTAATC